ACATATATATATATATATATAAAGACGTCTCTGGATCGCTTTACAAGTGCTTCAACTTCAGTTGCTGCGCGTTTGACAAAATAAGTGAGCAAAGGTGCTAATTTGTGCTAAATGGCGACCCATAAAATGTTCCCCCCTTTGGCACAATGTTTATATCAAAATCACACTCTACAAAAGTGCAATTTTCTTCATTTGCAAGACCTGTGACTTTGACTATGACCTAATCAAACACACCTTAAGTTGAATATATATTATTAACTTATGTTCATTTTGTTAGCTATCCCTGCTGCCACTGGGTAATAAGCAGGTTGCAACCCGAACAAGTCGGCAGTCCATCTCAGAGGTAACACACAGAGACAAGCAAAAATTCACACTCACGGCCAATTTAGAATCACCAATTCACCTAACAAGCGACATCTGTGGCCTGGGGGAGGAAACCTTTGTAGGCACCGTGCCTGCACCAGTTTAGGGCTCGACACCTACTTGCTGTGAGGTGACAGTCCTAACCACTGCACCGCCACACCGCAACTGATTAAATTTAACTGGCTGAAGCATGATAGTCGTTATAATTTTGCGAGCTGGCGAAACAATGAAAGGAAATTGTTTCGTGGAAGGAAAAGCACAGACGTAAACAATCTAAATCAGCGATGGCTGCATTTCCTTTAGCCGATTCATTGTTATGGTCTTGTTATTGTACATGATAAAATATATCATTATTATTGCCAGTGACACCTGCTGTATCTATAATATTTAAGCATTTGCTATTAAAAAACTCTCTGTAGTCCCAATGCTATATTTTTGACACTTTGAATTACTGCTGATCTTTATATGGTCCATAGAGAATAAGAGGAGTGGCAAGTACTTTTGAACAGAAATGATAGAGGTAAGTGGTGCATTTATACTTATTTCAGGTACCTTATCAGTTGTGACATGACCATGACAGACAGGTCAAGGGGTATAAAGTTGATAGAAGCTACTTTTAGCCATAAAATATAATGGTTATAAGCTCATTACCTTAAAAGCGGTCGGTCCTGTCACTCTAATGCTAAAGTTAGCTCAAACAGCTACAGTGTCAGCAGCAGCATTGTGGGTCACCAGTTTAATGTCAAAACACTTTCAGGCACAACTTATCTTTTCTTATAATAGATCTTTATTATGTTGTTCATGATAGTAATAAACCTGTATCCAAGTATGCCACTAGTGTGATATCAATAAACTTCATTTAAATCATTTATAAAAGACTCATATTACACTCAGATATTTGATTCATATCACACTCAAACAGAAATGTAGAGAACAAACTGGAAAATTGGTTTTAAACTGCAAAATGCTGCCACTCCTTAACAAATCTATGAGTTTCCACAGTCTATTTAGGGATCATTTCTATTCTCACTTTAAAAAAATCACAGTCATTCAGGCAATGATTCTCTTTTACACTAGTCCTAGCGCAGATGGCACAGCTGGTGATAATGGCTCTTGTTGCTCTGCCATTGCATACAGTGTAAAGCATCAGCATCATCTCCTCACTGATCAAATAAGAGGCTGGTAGGTGTGCGGGTGTCACAAGATAACCATAACACGTAGACAAACATTTTCACCAGCTGCTGATATCTCAGTTAATTAGAGGGAAGCGAACCTTTTACGAGAAACTGCTAGTGATGCTTTTTGATGAATGAAGCCTGAAGTTACCCGGCCTTGATTGTGCCTCTCGACTCCACTACAGGCTCAAAAGGGGAGGCTGTTTCTCACTCTCATTTTTTATCTCTCATCCTTTTCTTTTATTTTACTGTTTTTTTCTGCTTTCACCCCCCCCAGCTCTCCAAAAGGTGTCTCTTAATGGCTCTCAAATTTTCTCTTTTCAATATAATCTTGCTTGTTTTCTTCTCCAGTGTGTGCGACTTGTCTCATTCTCTCCTGTGCTTGTCCTGCTTTCCCACTTTCTGTACCTTCCAGCTCTTCCTCTCCCTGCTCTTCCTCGCTGATGCTCTCTCGCTCCAATAGACCATTAGGTTCTCTTTAACTCCACTTCTATGCTGTCTTCGACAGTTCTTTGTCACACCCTCCTGCCTTTCTTTTTAGCTCCTGATGTCAAATGTATTCAGCTCACACTGTTGGAACAATATCGCTGGCCTTATCTTAAAGATTCACACACATAAATGCAAACAGAGCCGTGCATCTGAAACATCTGTGATTGATGGGGGTTTATCTGCACTACAAAGTAAAGGTGATTCAGCGATAATGGTAATAGAATGATCGAGGAAATTT